ATTTCAAAATCCTTCCACACCAGTTTCTCCTGTAACAAACTTATCAATCAGAAATCATATTTTGTTGCATATAGTGTACAAACAGTATGCTTGACTACCTGAATATAAATATCAAATATCCGTCTTCTAACACTATGAAAAGATCTATTGCCTCTGATCCTTATCTCCGAGAAGTGAAGTTTCACGGTGTAATTGCCGTTTCGAAAGCAGCGTGCATAATACGTGAGAGAAATAGCAGAGCGGCGTGCCCTTGTGTACAACTCAGAGTTTTTCATTCTAAGTATAGATACATTATTTGCAATGTAGACTGTAGCAGAGGGGATAGAATCCCAGAAATATCCAGTGTTACTGGTTCCCCAGATAGGTCTCTGAGGAACGAATTTTGCTGCACCTCCTGGGTCTTGATCATCTTCAAAGGTGACTCCTTCAATGGTGGTTCGTTTTCCACCACAATTTATATGCAACGAGTACTGATCTATTCAGTAGCAAACAACAGAGAAATGACATCATAAAAATAGTTGACTACTTAAAATTCAAATTAGAAAGTATTGTATTGATTGTAAACCAGTTTCAGTGATTGCAAAGCCCAGTTGTATTGTATTGTTACCTTCTTCTGGACATTGAAAGTTCCTCAAGCACACTCCAAATGATCTACATTAGTGTGGTACACAATCAGCTGATGCAAATTTAAATTCCAGAATATATGGAAAGGACAAAAATGGCTTCACCAGTGAACATTAAAAGTTTAGACGCTTACGAGTTTCTTTGTGCAGAAAAGCTTTCAAACAGGTTTCTGATAAATATTTCAAAGAAAAATGCATTATTTTAGGTGAATGAAGACACCAAAGTACGCTAAATAATCACTAACTAGAAATATGTTCTTACAGGTTTTCTCGGCAAGTAGTTGGCTCAGAGCTCTCAGAAAAATTATTGTAAGAAATATCTGTCGGGCTGCATACAATACAATAAAATTGTAAGTCAGAACAGCTCCACCAGAAAAGTTGCATTTTGGAGTATCAATGAAAATTGTAAATATGGTTAAAGGATCAATTCCACAACAGAAAATCCTAAAAGTTGATCATTTAAAATTTTAAATGTTTCAAACAGTTACGATAGATTGTATGTGACTGCCTAGGACCTCTAACCAAAGTAGAAGTTCCCATACTAGTCATGAAATAAGAAAATAAGAAAATAAAACTCAAGAAATTCTGTATAGGATGGAAAACATACTAGTCACGATCTCTGCTCTGCATCCACTCTGGAACAGACCCGGTGAGCCAGTTGCTTGTTAGATACCTATCAAATGCATAATGACATTATGTAAAATATATGTAAATATCATATATGCATTATGATGTCTGCTAGTGACCTTCATGAAATTCACATTTCTTACAAGTACTTCACGTTTTGCAGATTTTCATAGTCAGGAGTATTAATATTTCCTTCCAATTTGTTGAAGCCGAGATCTCTGCAAGAAATCAACTAAAAAGGTTATCATTAATCAACTAAAAAGGTTGTCATAACTCATAAGATCCCAAAGATCTGTTACTAAAAAAACTGTCATTAATCAACTTGCGCTGTGCATTTGAACAAGATGAAAAACAAAGAAAAACAGTGTTACAATCTATTCAAATTTTCCATTTCTGATATATAAGCAGGGATAGGTCCATATAAATTGCAGCTCCTCAGCACTCTGCAACATAACTTCGTAATATTAGCCTAACTCAGCTAAGAGTCTTACATTACAGCACGAAAATGTAGAACAGTTTCAAGACGTACAAGTCTGTCATGCCCATTATATTACTCAAGTTTGGAAATTTTGAACCCCCTCCATTTAAGTCACTGAACGCTCTGCATTGAATTTCATAAAATTTTCACTGTGGTATGAAGTTATCATAAAATTTTCAAATCAGGATTAAGGTTCGTTAGTGTTAATGCAATGCAGAACTCACAGTATTGTTAAATTACTCAAGACAGAAATGCTAGACAAAGGACGGAATGGGCCCACGGAGACCACTAGCACAAATCCCTCTGTCAACAACAATATTCAAAATCAATCAAGATTACACAAGAAGAGTTGTTAGAATATGTTATATGAAAAGGCACTTACAATTTCTCAAGTTGTTTAAAATTTTCCAAATAATCAGGTATTTTTCCCGTGAAGTTGTTACTGCTAATCGTACTGCATGAAGGGAAAGATTGAAAAACATAAAGCCGAAGATTTCCAAACATGAAAAACAATGTTAAGAGTACAAACACTTACAATTCTCTTAATTTAGTCAGATTAGCGAAAGCCACTGGCAATTCTCCTGTGAGATTGTTTTTACGGAGAATGCTGCAGATACCAAGACCAGTCTTAATAACTTATCCACTGCAACTTGCTTTACCATTAATATTAAAAATAAAGTTATAATATCGAACTGTGGATGCAAAAGAAAAAGGGAGCTTACAAAATCTCCAAGTTAACCAAATTCCCAAGCTCATGAGGAACAGTTCCAGAAAACAGGTTAGTCTCTAAGTTCCTGGAATTAAATTCTTCGTCACAGCAGGCTAACCGAAATGAAACTTAAAGTGTTGGCGTGACTTGTGGATATTGACTTACTTTCCTT